CCTACAAATGCTATGCTAATCCAGAAGCTAATTTTCTTTCTGTGTCTGCTTAATCAGGGCTGTCACAGAATTTTTCTCTGTGCCTTCAAAGGTTGCCTTTTTTTGGTCTGTCATCTACACTGGATGCATTCATCTTTTTCCAGTTTGATATTTCAGCTATTAACTTTCCTCAAGTCCAGAGCAGGTTGCTTCAAAGTCAAATACAAATACAATCCTACTCATTTTAAAAAGACTAACCATGCTACAGCAAGTTTGTACTGCTGTTTGAGATCACGTTCACCATGTATATCAAGCCCTGTAGCACTGTAGTGGTCTACAGCCTAGACAGAAGGATGCTTGAGTCACTGTTAGTGCAGTCTTGGTCTGTAGGAGAGCATCAATAGAGTTGTTTCTAGACTGCCTAGTACCCATGAATCACAAAGAAGAGTGCTGCTGCCACTTTTTCTTGAAATCAGCCAAAGTCCAGCCTCGAATACGTGCTTCTGTTACTATTTATCCCTTTGTCCAACAAGCTTTGCGTAAGTGAGAGTGAGTTCTCATAATTCCTGGTGCAAATAAATGCTAACTAACAATCATAAAAGTTGGACGAATAAGAAATGATACTCTGGAACAAAGGAAATCATATTTCTGATATGTTTTAGGTTCAGGATCTTGCATGTGATTAGTACCAAAAGGCTGGACTTAACATCCTTAATGGTTATACTGATCTGGAGGTTATACACCTGGAGGACGAAGCCCAAGAAACTAAGCTGCTTCCAGTCAGATACTTGTGGATATAAAAGTGCATGGTGCAAGTGGGAGTAAAAGCAAAAGGTCGAATGCAATTGGCCCTTACTCTCAATTCCTTTCACAGTCAGTGGAAGCTGTCTTCATTCGTTTTCATTTAATAAATACCCACATTGTGAATTGTATTTGCTCGTAGTGCTGCCGTGCTTGGAGGTCTAACTCCTGCCTGCCCCCTCAGCAGGCTAGTCTCTCTGGAAACACAAAATAATTGTACTTCTGATACGGAGCAAGGTCTGGTTGCACCACGCTGCAGGTGAGAGCAGGAGCTCTTGGCTGGGGTCATGTCAATATGCTTAATTTGCATGTTGATTGAACTCTGTCCCCCCTGTGCCTGCTGCCGCTTGTTTTCCTCTCCGATGGCCGGGCTCAGCAGTGCTCCCTGGAGCGGGGATGAGAACTGGCTGAGGAGAACCACGAGGGCAGTTCCAGGTGAACGGGCCTCTTGCGGTTTTCTCAGAAGCATCCTATGCGTCACTCGCCCAATTTCGTGGCCAGTCTACCAGCACGTAAGTGAACCCATCCAGGTGATGTTTGCTATATAAAGGCAGGTGAAGGCTACCTGGGGTGTGCAGGGCTGTCTCACTGACGGAAGGGGATGGAGCAATCCCATCGCAAGATGGGCTCCATCCCATTTTGCACCCTTCTTTGCTGTTTTATTAGCTTAGCAGCAGCCAATATATTTGGTAAGTACACTTGTTCTTTTCCTTTGCCTGTGTCCGGTAGTGACTGTGCTCCTGCGATCTTTGTGCCACTCTGTGTGTTATTCTGACAAAGTATATAATGATTTTGAATCTTGCACGTTGCAAACTTAGCTAGTTATTGTGTGCTGTGCGGAGTGAGTTTGGGCTCCGGGTTAAATACTAAGCTATAAGGATCTTTAAATGGTCAGTGTTATCTGAGTTCAGTACACTTGGATTTTGTGTGGAAAAACCCCCATTTTCTGGAAGAACAGGCTGGACTAGAGAAGAAGCTTGGGTAGGAGAAGGTGGTGCTGCAGGGATGTGAAGGTTATATGTTCTACTTGTATGTGCCATCATCTAATTTGGCTTGAACTTTAACTCAAGATACTGGATAGTCTGAGTGCTGTCCCCAGTTCTTTGGTCTGAATTTGACAGTCCTGTACAACAAGCAATTTGAATCACCCATCAATCTCTTAACCCAGATGTCTTAGTAGACTGTAGCACTGTACAAAGGGATCTCCACACGTCCCAGACCAAGTGGCTCAGAGTCATGTTTGAGATGAAAAAGGTGAGGTCTGCCTACATGTGGATGTCTATAGGTGAGCTAACCTGACCTAAAATCCCTTTACAGTCTCATGAAAATTTTCATATGGGCTTAAGAGGACACAGTACAAACCAGCAGAAACAGAAGTGATTCAGCAACCCTACGTGCACAGAAACCATCTGTGGTTAAAGCAGCCCGTGAGCTGCAAATTATCGGGGACTGAAAAGTATTTACAATACTTATGATGTATTGGTGGTACTATATGCGTGGTCACGCTCAGACCAAGTACTGGATTAAGTGAACCTTTGATCTAAATCGCTGTAGCTGTGATTTTGTTTGTTTGCAGTATTTTTATAGAACTAGTCAGCGGAATAAGAGCATGATATTCATCATATATTGACAGAGAAAGTGTCAGATCAACTAATCTGTTCTGTAAAAAAGAACCTACTGAATTTCATCATTCTCCTCAAACAGCATCCAAATTTGGTCTTGAATGTATTAAGCACTGAAGAGTCAACTGCTTTCTTGCTAGTTGACTTCGGTCATTGATCATTTTCCCTGGTAGAAATTTAGAAGTGCTCCTAATATGAGTTAGTCTGATGCTAACTGCTAGACATTGATTCTTTTTAGGTCTTTTATGAGATTAAGAAGAAATACCTCTTCTTGTGGTAGACTAGTGAGTGACTTAGTTTCAATAAAAAATAAATACTCATAAAACATTAAGTGATGTGCATGGTTATGGCAAAGGGCTTTTTTGTGGTGATAGCCACAACTAACTCTGAGTATGTAGACTACCTAAGGTACCAGAAAATGATAGCTGTGCCAGTACAGAACAGAGCTGAAGCTAATTAAATACAGGCCTGGGAAAGGGGCTTACGAGCATCTCCATCATGTGCTTATCCTGCAGCTGGCAGCCCAGCGAGTTTGTTCCGTACTTCCTTGTGCTGCCCCATGCAGAAATGCATGCAACGAGCAATGGGGAAGCAACCAGGGACAACGCGTGAACCTGAGGCTTTTACCACGCAGTGTTGGCACTAACAGGGTTTTGATAAGAACAAGCTTGCGGTGAAACCACCCTTACGTGTTTACCTTCTTGCTGCTTTCAGAGTACCAGACAGAGTCCCAACCGTTACGCCCGTGTGAACTTCAGAGGGAAAAGGCTTTTTCAGGAGGAGAAACCTACGTCCCTCAGTGCTCAGAAGATGGCCAGTTCAGGTAACTTGTCCCTACTATTATTCTGCTGTTACCCAACATGACCTTTCATTACTAATGAAAGCTTTAGCATCAGTTTTGAAGAGCCTCCGTATCGGTGGACTGGAGGGTGAGGGGTGCAGGAGACCGAAGGGACTTCATTGAGCAGATCCAGCCTCTCCTCAATGAATTCCATGTTGGTGGAAATAATCTCTGGGTTAAGAAGTCAATCTAATATTAATAGGCTAATCTTGGCAGCATTACTTGCATGGTAAATACTTGGTGCAGGTTGTTGTGTAATGCAGCCGCTGTCTTTCTACTCATGCTTATGGGCGTGTGGTCTGCGATCAGCATGCCAGCTGGCACAGCTGAGCCAAGTTGACTTGGAGGAGTTATCCACCCTGCTGTAAGTGGCACAGTTGGGTTTCCTTCTAAAGGCAGTAAAGGAACTAAAAAGCACATGGAGAACAGTGATTTAGAAAGCAGCATGTTGCGTGAAGATGCAAGAAGTTAATGAATTAAAGCTGAGACTGAGGGGGAGTGCAAATTGTAATACTTTCTACTATTATCTATTGTTGCCTAGGGTGGGGGACCTTGACCATTCTAGATTTGACTTAGAAAAGGTCTCAAAATGTATGGTAAATCTCAAATCAGGATTCTGTCCAAACTACTTGCTTCCTGAATGACTTCAAGTCACTTATCTGTAATTCTTGAAGACTTCAGAAAATTGCTAGAATTAAGAGCTCCCATCAGGTAGACCCAGATGATTTAGAGGCACCAAAACCACGGCCCTTTCTGATTCCACTATTTGCAGTATTAAAGTACTTGAACTTGCTTGCCTTGCTTTATGTTTCTGTTTATGTCCCATACTGACTGAGGACTCTGTCACTAGCAAAATAAAATATGTTACTTGTGTTCTCCTTTAGGACAGTTCAGTGCAGTAGGAATGGTCTTTCCTGTTGGTGTGTGGATGAGAATGGCATTGAGGTACCTGGCAGCAAACAGAATGGATATCCCATGTCTTGTAAGTCACAAGTTTCTGTTTGTGTTCAGATTGGGTTTAAATCTGCATTTGATCTGCTGAGATCAGGCATAGATTAGCCCTGGACTTTGATGGTAATTTGTGGGGTAATTTGATGCTAGTTTGTGGTAATTTGCTGGGTCTTTCTAGTGGAAGTTCTGGAGTTTCTTTGGAGCTGATCATGGAAACCTGATACACCTGGATGGTCTGTATCCATGAAGATCACAGTAATGTAAATCACTAATGCAGGATCACCTTAGTGTATTGGCTTTTGAGGTGGAGGGCTTCATCCCCATCCATGGTGGATTTCTGTGGATTTCATGACGTCAAGTCCATCAATGTCTTGAGAAAACTCAGCTATTATCTAAAAATAAATGATTCAATGCCCAACAAGTACCTTCCTCTAACAGTGCCCCTCTCTGATACTACAGGCTTGTCCTTTTGCCAGCTGCAAAAGCAGAGGATTTTGGTGAGTCGATACATCAATAGCAGCAGCATCTCCTACGTCCCTCAGTGCTTGGATTCAGGAGCTTTTGATGCAGTGCAGTGTGACACAGAGCTGGGACAGTGCTGGTGTGTAGATCCAGAAGGAATGGAGATTTATGGCACCAGGCAGAGAGGAAGGCCAACGCGGTGTAAGTAATATTCAACAAAACAGTGGGTTTTGTAGTGCGGGAAGATTTGGTGTGAATGAAAGGTGGTAGATCAGGAGCCTGGACACTGCAGCCTACGCTTACCCTGTAGAAGTATAGATGCTTAACTGAGGCATTTAAGTCCGTGTTTCATAGAATCATAGAGTATCTCAGGTTGGAAAGAGGCCCGTAAGGATCATCAAGTCCAACTCCCTACTTCTCATAAAGAGAATACAAGGCACCTAGGTGTCCATGTTCAATATAATGAATCTAACCCCCTTCCAAACCAGGGGTGTCTATTCAGCTGTTCGCGGGAAGTTAAAACACCAATAAACATTAACTTTTTTTCCTGTCAGGTCCGGGGAACTGTGAGATCCGAGACCGTCGCATTCTGCATGGGTTTGGGGAGAAGAGCCCACCACAGTGCTCAGCAGATGGAGAGTTCCTGCCTGTCCAGTGCAAGCTTGTCAACACTACAGATATGATGTTTTTTGATCTCATTCATAGTTATAACAGGTAAGAGTGTAGGCTTCTGAAACAGGGAGGCAATCCTGCATGTCTCTTCAAGTCAGTGTCTTGCTGCATTTTTTTTCCACATGAAGCCCTTCTGTGACCCCATATGATGTTATTTTCTGTTAGTGGATGGACCAAGTAAAAATCTTTTTTTCTTCTGAATTACATTTTCTCATTTAGAAAGGACTGATATTCCATCCCTGCAGTCTGATCAGTATGTCCTCACATAGCAGTAGATACCTTATTGCAATCTCCACTTGGAAAAGTACCCAGGGCTACCTTTCAGATGATAGACACAAAACAGCAAATGAGAAAATGTGGAAGGAAGAGAGGAATTCAGATATATACGTGACGTAGGAAAGATGATTCCGCACGGGAGATGAAAACAGATGGACAGACGGACAAGTGGCAACATGCCAAGAGCAAGTTCCACATGACAGTGGGAAATTCCCGTCCGTTTAGGCAGTGCCAGGGTTGCTCTCACAGGTGAACCAGCAAGTGATGAACGGGTGTGCTGACAAACGGACTGGGTTTGGGTGGTTGGAGCAGGCTGGGGAAGACTTCAAAACTCTGGATCAAATGCTTGTCCGTGGGAGCAAGAAGCCGTTGTCCTGTGGAGGAGCTGGGAATTAATGCTCAGATGGAGAAATAAGGGGTGGGCAAGGGCAACTGCAAGGAGAGGAGGTTGGGGTTTTTTTGTGAAGATGTTCAGACCCTCTAGAGGAAACTTCTGGTCTCTCGTGAAGTGCCGTTATCTTGGCATCTCAGTCAACGCATTTCTCCGGTGGAGGGCAGCGGAGTAAATGTAATGTCTCGTTCTGACTTGGCTCTGTAGAAGCAAAGGCATTTTACTGTAAATGTCAGTTTTGCTGGTCTGAGGGTTTTCTTTTTTAATTTAAGCAAAACTGAAAGGCAGGCCCAAATACACAGTGCAAAGTTGTCAGAGCTTCAGGAGAGGTTATTTTGGCAAGAGCAAAATAATCTGGCTGTTTTGTTTGTTGGCCTATGGAGTGTAGAAATTCTAAAAGAGCAATTACAGAGGAGAAAGCAATGCTTTAAAATACCATTTTTTTTTTCTCCCATTGAGAGATTTGTCTGCAAAGGCCTGCAAGATTGGGTTTTTCTTGTGTTCATATCATGTAATTAATCACAGCAGGATCATTTCACTCCCAGCTGTCTACCTTTCTAATTATGGCATTGACTTAACCCATTACCATCATATCTGAGTATCTCTGGTCATTAATAGATTTATTTTCACACTATTCCTGCCTGAAATGTCATTATCCTGTCCCATAAACAGGAGGCCAGAATACAGAGTTGAAAGGATGAGTTCCACAGCAAAGGACTATAGCAGAACAGGGGTTTAAACTCATATTTTATGTTCATGTAGAACCAGTGAAGCAACTTTCTTTGGTTCCACAGAATGATTTTTGAAATCTAAACATGTCACACTAACTCCCTTCCCAAATTGTTTCCTTACACCTTCTTAAATATTCCAGAATAAATCAGTATGTTAAAAAAAATAAAATATGGAGAAATTCAGGGGCTTAGAGTTTCTTAAGAGGAACACTTTTGTAAAGAAAGATGAACCAAAATTTTCTACCTTACCCTGGTGACTTTGCCACTGTTAACTTATTTTATACGGACTGTGCCCAGGTCCTAATTGGATGGGCAGCCATATAGAAGGCCCTATAGCAGACTGGGGAGAAAGATCAAAAAATCAAAAGTCGAGAGGGATCTTTTTACTTTCTTGCTATAATTTTCATCAGACTGAAGACCTTGTCTCAGCTCACTGGAGGTTCTGCCCTATTATGTATTATATCGTTGGCAGTAGGAAAAAAAAACAACAAAACTTGATTTGATTTTCTTCCTCTGTTTCTGAATAGTCAATGAGAAAGGCAGCTATAACTTGAGCTGCACATATGAAATGTAGAAGGTTTTACTTGCAAACCTGCTTTTGAAGGTCAGTAATGAATTATCTTTGCTGGAAGCCAAGACCAGAGAGAGTTGGAAGAAAAGATCAACAACCTCACATTTATTTACTTTCCCATATTTTTGTGTGAAGCATTCTTGTTGAAACACATGGATACACTATAAATTTATCCGTAACTTAAATATAGTCATCTTTGCTTCAGCCATTTTTTTGGACTAGGTCTGATAGATGAGGTACTCTGTATTATCACTTCTCATCTCGGGGGCTGTGATTAAAAGAGGCTGAGAAAAGACAAAAAAGCGGCAGGAAGTGAGTTTTCCAAGTAAGGTGAGCAAAGTTCTGTCCTCTTGTGTGTGTGGGCCTAATTTATACCTGTTTGTACTTTATTTAGCTGTAGTCTCACCTTGGAACAAAAATAACCAGAGTGACAGGATACGACTACGCATCTGCCCCATATAAAAGCAGTATAATTATGCATGTGACTTCTTAACGTCGAGGATGAAAGAAAGCAGCATGCAGAATTTTTTCATCGCATCCTGTTTCACTTAGCTAGACGTTGAGATGCTGAGGCGATGAGCTCCAAGGACATGAGCAGTGCAGAGGTCTGCCTTTGAATATAGGGGCATTGTTCTCCTAAGAAGAGAAAAGATCATATTGCTGATTGGGCAGTGGCCAGTGTATGATATTTTAGGGGAGCAGAAAGCTCTTGAAATGTCCCAGGCCATTTATATCCATGTTTACATAGAAGACCTTGGCAAGATGGTATTTAGCTGTTTATATCTTAAATTACATTGTTTTAGTACTGACAGAAGTCCCTTTGTGCCCTGAGTATGACATTTTGATTGTTTTTAGCATGCCAGTGTCAGCAACGGAGCAGGATTTAATGATCCAAAGTGGAGGGAATCTGTAGGCTTTTAATTTGAAGACGTGGGAGAGTGCCAGAGCGGAGCAGCACCAGGCAGGGATGTGCGAGCTCTGAGACAGGAGCACTGCTGGTTAATGCTGGGACAACCTCACGGTTACCAGCCCCTTCCTCTGCCAGGGGTTGGTGTTGCTTCATGCATTCCCCCAGCTAGTGCTTTGACGTGCTGAGGAAGCAGTGACATCTTCGGCTCTCCTGGCAAGAGGTGGCAGAGCTCTCGGGCAGACTCTTGAAGGTAGCAAAGGGCTCTTACTTCACTCCTCTTGCCCGACTGCCCAGACAACGCCAGCTCTGAGCCAGACAAGCGTTTCGCTGCGTTTCTCTGCAGACTGCACGTGCTGGAGCAGCTCTGGAGGGTGGCACTGGAGTTGAGGCTGGTCATGGTCCCACTTTCACAGGATTGCTGTGAACTGCTTTGGCACGTTAACCTTTTTCCCAGTTGATCAGGGCCTAGTCCGCCATCACTCTTACTGCTAAGTGTCCTTCCTTAGTAAAAACCTGCTTTGACCGTCTAATTCTAATGTCTTGAGCAGAAAATTCCACTTCCCTGGTGTTAGATTTTTTCCCCAAATAAGCCGCGTGCAGCTGGGACACCAGACCTTTATCGTATTTCAGGGTAAGGGTATGTGTCTGTAAAATAATACAACTGCTTTGGAACTTGGCAAAATTGTTTTGCTGGTCATAGAAGTCCAGTCTAGAAAAACTTATCTTCTGTTTGAGTCTAGAAAAACTTATCTTCTGTTTGCTTGTAGAAACCCTAGAGTGTCTGTCAGTTAAGATCACATTTATTATGTTTTTTCCAACTCTGACCTTATTAAGTTTCCTTCCTAAATCATTGCTTTGCTGGAATCTGGTTGTCATCACTCGTGGAATATTATACTGGAAACTAGCATGTCTTTGATCTCCAGAAGTAAGAGTCAATCTTACTTGTACTATGTTAAAACCTCTTTCTCCTTAATCTGTTGAGCCATGCTCTCAAAGTGAAAAAGATTAGTGAGGTTTTTATCAGATTTTGTGCTTAATTCAGTGCAGAAGGTGTATATAGCATGCAGGGAAGGGGAAACAACCTGTTTGTTTAGGCACTCTGCCATCTTGTGCAGATTTGTGGAAGGAGCTAATGAACAGGTGTTGTAATAACATGAAGCCAACGTCCGTCTATTTTACACTCTTTGACAGGCTTTCAAAGATGAGAATAGAATTGAAAATGAGTGTCAGATGCTGGGTGCCTGCTTAGGAAGGGTCAGAAATCTGTCTGAAGGGAGATGTTACTGTCCTGTGTTTTGCCCTTAAAAAATGTCACTTAGGAGACTTGTTAGCCTGCCGAAACACCGATTTGGAGCATGTCAGAGTCTGGTTGCCACAAGGAGACCGAAGGGTTGTGTAACGGCTTTGTGCTGTGCAGACATCCTTGCTGTACAAATTCGGGAGGGAAACACAGATGCTTCTTTGTTGTTGACGCCCTTCATAGGAGTCTGCTTTTGCTTCCAGGCTCCCAGAGGCTTTCCAAACGTTCAGCTCCTTGCGGGAGACGTTCCCGGAGGTGTCTGGGTACTGTTACTGCACGGACAGCCTGGGCAGAGAGTTAGCAGACACTGGTAAGTACTCTCCAGCAGCTGATCCTTTAACTTGAGCAGCTTCGAATTCCCAAGGGAAAGGGACAAATAACAAGTATCAGTCTCCAGCTTCATTTGGGACTTCAATTTCATTCTTACAAGAGGTAAGACCACTGTGGCCAGTGTAGTGCCCATGGGAAAGATGACCTCACTGGTGAAATCCCACTCTTAGGAGCAGTGCTTCAGTCGGCAGCACGTGGAGCTGCTGCCTGGGAGCTAATTCTGACCTTTCTGGGGTGGTGGGATAAGATTTCTGAATGCCCAACCTCTGCCCACACTAGAAAGCTGCATTGTATTCGATGAGTCCAATTAACAAATGTGGGGGAATATACAGGTCCTGAAGAACAAACTATGTTCTTCTTGCTTAGATAGAATCATGGAATGGTTTGGGTTGGAAGGGACCTTTAAGATCATCTGGTCCAAATCACCTGCCTCGAGCAGGGACATCAGATGGTCCTTTCTTTTCTTTCATAGCCTCAGGATAATTTTTAAGCATGTTAATAGTTGATGGGACATTTTGCAAGAAATAATGTTTTTTCCAAGGAAGAGGAATGAAGAGGTGGAGGACTTTCAGCTCCTCTTCCTTAGATATTGTGGGTTTAAAAAAAAAAAAAAATCTGGGAAAAATGCAGAGCACGATAGCTTCAAATTTAGATAGTAGATGAGAACTTCAACATTCAGTTCCCAGAAGGGTGAGAACTTCTCAAAAAATTTGTGCACTCAGGGAAATTACTGCACATCTTTTCATTTACTTAAGGTATACAACCAAAATGTTTAGGAATTGGTTTTTGGAAACATTGGTTCCCAAAAACATTAGATGTTCTACCAGAAACTGAACCTAACAAAACCACAGCATGGTGCCTGTTACTGGATGTTCCTCCTGCTCATTTTGGTAGATGTCAAGGCATAAAGCTAATGCCTGGGCACTCAGCAGTGGGTTATATGGTGCGGTGCATTAGGGTTATGCGGTATAAGTTCACATTTGTTTTCTTTTTCCCGATAGGTTTCCAATTCTGCTACTCTGGTGTAAAGCAGATGACTTCTGTCTTACAACCAGGCTTTGTGCTTAAAAGTCTCTCTTTCCCAGGCTTGGAACTGCTGCTCGATGAAGTTTATGACACAATTTTCTCTGCGCTGAAGCCTGCCCGCACGTTCACGGAGACCAGCATATACCGGATCCTGCAGAGGCGGTTTCTGGGGGTTCAGCTAGCTACCTCTGGCAGGTTCAGATGTAAGTAGCACCCACGTGATGCCCTGCCGTGAGGCAACAGTTTTGGAGCTTATATGTGACAGCTGCCTTTGGGGAGAGTTGTTCTAGGAGTCTCTTGCAGTAAAAGCATATAATATCACAGTTTCAGTGCAAGAATCAAGGTCTCTGGATTGTCCATTCTCACTGGTAGATTGTACCTGTCCTCTGATCAGCGCTTTCCCACATACTTGAAGTTTGCATTAGTTGAAAACTGATGAACTCTCTGTGTGTCTTTCCCTGAGATTATGGAGATGGATCTGATGATTTATTAAATTAAAAGCCTGAGAAAATGCTCCCTAATTTATATTGCTACACTCAGAAATAGGAAGGATCTCACATTGGCCACAACCCACTCAATCCCCTGGAGTTTGTAGTGCTTTAGCCAGCCAGGCTGAACTCGTGGATCTGCCCTTGGGTCCATTCCCTTGCTGTCGGGGCAGGCAAATGGGGAGACAACTCTGCAGGACAGGAGGTCAAGTACCTCCTCCTCTCTCCTACATCAGAGCCCACGAGAATTGCCTTGGCTGGGGAGAGTTTGAACCCCCTGATGTGATGCTTCATCCTCCCATCCAAATTCCTGTGATGCCACTGTCTGACCCTTGCTAAGGAGTTGCATTACCAGAGATATTAAGCAGATACTGACATAAGTCTTCCAGCCACATGGTTTTTCTATTTCTGGGACAAGCTGATCATTCTGAGGAGTCTGGAAAGCATCTTCCCTCTTCCACTGCACACTGTTGTCGAGTAAACTCTGACTGTAGCTGGGGATGCAGCGGCTGTCAGCAAAGATGAAGCTGTAACAGCCACAAGATGGAGATGTGACCACATTCATCAGCCGCTGAGGAGGACTGCTTTGGTGACTTACCCAGATCTCACACTGCCACCTGATGCCACACGCATTAGGAAAGTTGTCAGACTTCCTTGATGAACAGGTCACTCTGATGTGATGCTCATGCTGCGTCAACCTGGTAGCTGTGTGTAGCTGGAAAGCTCTTGAAAGTGAGAAAAGTTTAGGCTGTAGGATTGCAGGTTTATGTAAACAAACGAAATTTCTGTTGGAAGGGTGGAGTCTAGTATTGGAGAGATGATAGCTCAGGAAATTTGCTTTATGGATTTTTGGCTTCTCTGCCATTAAGGCCAGTTTGACAGGAATAAGGTCTTCAGATCCCTACGGAGGGAAATTACAAGAAGTGGGTGGTCCCAGACCAAACCTCCACAGTCAGGTGCAGCTCTTTTTGCAGGAGCAATACTTTGTTCTCACCAGAAACATTGATGCTTATCTGTGTCTTGGTCTTCCAAGCTGCACATCTGTCCCTGTTGACCAGCTTTAAATTTACATTAAGGGCCAGAGCTCACCTAGCCTCCAGCATGGCTCCCGGTAGATGCTGCTACTCTGCCTACCCTTGGCTATGGCTGAAAACTGTGTTGAGGTTTTATTTTCTGTTTAGTTTTCAGAAATCATACCTACAGCAGAAAGCCCTGGGACCAATTCTCCAGGGAAGAAGAGGACGGAGAATTTGCATTTTGGGCTGATACTTGAAGTTTCACTGAAAACAGTCAAGAAATTAAATTTTATTTTTTCTTTTCCCTCCAAATAGGCAAACATCAAGCAGAGATGTCTCTGAAACTTTAAGCTTTCCCTCCTTAACACATACTGTTTTTCTTCCAGGCCCCTCTAAGTGTGAGGTTGAGCGGTACGCAGCCCTGCGTTACCAGCATGCCTACGTGCCGTCTTGTGATACTGATGGGGGCTACGCGCCCGTGCAGTGTCAGCCAGGAGGACAGTGCTGGTGTGTGGACACCCAGGGGCAAGAGGTCCAGGGCACAAAGAGACGAGGCCAACCCCCTGCCTGTGGTATGTACGTGGTTTGGAAAAGGGAAAATGAGCACATCCCTCAGCGCCTGTAGAAAGAAACCTGAAGGACAAGTTGCTTTCTTGGCTGTGACAGATCTGGTGTTCAAAAACTGAGATCCAAAATCCTCCCTGGGGTTAAAAGCCATATTCTAATAAATTATTAAATATCATATTCCTTTTATTTTCCTTTATGAGCTTTCTTTAGCCTTTTAGTTTTGCACACAGCAAGGCTTTTCTTTGCAGCTATGGTATCTGTCTCTTGACTCTAGGAGCTGGGGCATTAAGTCAGAATATTTGGGATAATATAAGGAAGCCAGTGATGGTGGTTTTGTGTTTTACCTCCTTCCTTTGGTGAAACGCTGTGGAATTTCTAAGGCATCTTTTCTCCTGAGCATTTTTTCCCATCTCTGTCACTGCATATTTGGCCACGAAAACTGCCAAATCCATTTAAAACCCCCAAACAATTCGGAAAAGTTATAAGAGTTTGGGCTTTGAGAGATTTCATTAAGAATACACCATCAAATCGGTGCCCCAAATGGAAATGACAGCAGAAATGTCAAAGGGCCAGTGGGGAAGACAAGAGTTAAAAACCTTCACTCCAAAGCGCACTACCTAAATATTCAGGATTGCGCTGGAGGGCTGGGGCACAGGGTCTTAACCCAGGGGCGCCTTCGGGGAAGGTAATTGCTGTCTGCCAGACGCAGTCTTACCGCGCAGATAAAGGAGGAACCTACCCTGGGTGTCACGCTCCGAGTCGCTCCGAGTGCTCTGGGCACGGGCAGGCTCACTGTGAAATGAAACTGTTAGCATGCCTCCGAGGCTGATCACCAAGGATATTGCAAGGGAACCTCCGAGAGGCCTCGCCATATGTTGGGATCGGTTGTTTTCTCTTTGAATGTGCTTTGCTGAGCCCTCCTGATAATTTTTTTTCTTTTTTTCTTTTTTTCTTTTTTTTTTTTTTTTTGAAGGGGGGCAATGACTTGAGGCTGCTTGCAGCTTTTATTGACGGACTCAGGAAATTTAAGCAGGGAAAAATTTTTGCAGAGGTTTTGCAGACTAACTCCCAAGAAGGTATTTTGTGAGGATATAGTTGCAGTCTGTGTTCAGACAGCTACATGCCATGTGCGTGTCTCTAGTTCTGCTCTGTTTTATTTCTCTTTGGCTCTCACACTCAGCAGCGTGAACACTGGAGGATGCAGAGACGTAGGTGTGAGTAGCATGTTGGTTACTCGTGTGACCAGACGGTCCTGATAAAGACATTCTCCTTTTCAGACTTTTACAGTAAATTCACCCCAGCAGTGATTTTCTGTTTATTCCTTCTCACTCTGTTTTCATTTGATTCAACGGTGGGTAGGAGAGGAGAGCGTTTAAAGACCGTGATCCTACATTTGTTTCATATTAGCATACTTGCAGGATTGTGGCTTACACTAATTTATTGGTCCCCAGAGGAATGTTCTTCATCCCTCTTACCAAGAGCCAACACTGAAAACAGAAGGGGCCCATCCTACAGCAAATGCCTTTACAAAGGAACCACTGTGAGGGACCCTGAGCCCCTGCCAGAAACTGCGGAGCAGGACAAGGGTGCGAAAGGAGCAGTGAGAAAGATGCTGTTCACAGAGCCTCAGATTACTTGCTAATCTATTTTAGGAGCTTTTAAGATTTCCAGCTTTTATCCTTACTACTAACAGGATTCACGACTGCTTTATCATATTGCCTGAATGTGGAATAAATGGGGATGGGGCAGGCAGCCCAAGGGAGGCCATGCTGGAGCAGACCAAAGCTGTGTATCCACCATCCTGTCCCCTACAGGGACAGCAGCGGTGCTTAGGGGGAAAGCGTGAGAAACATGGGAAATGCATATAGCTTCCATGTATCTTCCCTGTTGCCTGCTCGGAGACCCCAGACTGGAGGCTGAACCCAATCATTGTGTTCAGCAGTCCCATATGGAGTCATCTTCCCGGGATTTGCCTAATTGCTCTTTAACCTTTTATCCTTCCTAGCATCCTCTGGCAATAATTTTCATGATCTAATTATGTGCTTCTCTACCATTCTAATTCCTGTACTGTAAGAAATACTGAATAATAACCATCTATTGTGAATGACGTGGAGAATTCTGGTTTCTAAAAACTTTTATCATATTTTTTTTGTCCAAACTGAATAGTCTCTGCAACTGCAAAAGCTGTTCTGTCCCCAAAATATTTTTGCATTCCTTCTCTGCAGTTCTGCTACTTTCCAAGGACAGGTAACTGTGTGGCACATGATTCAAGTGGCTGCTGAGATCCAGTCAGTGCCATAACCATCCTGTGTGGTTTGTTCTCAGTGTCTTTATATCTACCAAGTCTTTCCTTTTTTATGTCTTTTGAGCCTTAAGCTGACATTTTCAGAGGTTCTTCTTCAGTGATGTGTTGCATCCTAACTTGAAGCGATTGTTCATTGTATGAACGTGCAGATGGGGCTGGATGCCAACACACCTGTGACAAAGCTTGGCCCAGGGTATTTTCAAACCTCTTGTAATGAATGCTTCACTATGAAACCGATGATCTAGGTAGGAAGCCTCCATAAAATCTTTGTTAGTGGGCATTGTTTAAAATAATTTTCTGTTTTTCTGCAGTCTACTTCTTTCTTAGGTTCACATATTGTGCCTGGATCATCAGAGGTTTGCATTACAAGCTGGCATCCTACCAGAGAGTTAAAGTATTTTGAAAAGATTTTATTCTTTCTTTCAGCCATAGTAAAAGGAATGAGAATTTACATTGGGAAACATTAGAATCAGAAAAAGCCCACAGAGCAGACAATGCAGATGTGGTGAAGGAATGTTTCCTTTTACTTTGTGTCTTGACTGGAAAATTTTATCTATAGAACATATTCAACAACAGTTCAAATTTCCTTATCAATGTGGGTGATGCACAGTTGAGGAACTAGAGACAGGTTAAACTACTTTTATGTTGTTTCTGCTGAGATTCCTTGAAAAATAGCCATAGAGTTACAGGGTATGGAGGTTCCAAAATTTGCATTTTTTTTTTTTTTTTAAACCTTTTTTCCAGGTGAAGAACAAGGGTGCATCTCTGAGAGGCGACGGGCCTTGTCAAGGATCTTTTATGGCCCTGCTGGGTACTTCAGTCCATCCGATTTGTTTTCCACACCAGATATGCAGTCAGAGAAAACAACTGGCTTCTCAAGACCCTGCCCTCCCTCCTTCAAGGAGCTGTTTCTGGACTCCGGATTGTCATCCCCAGTTGCACAAAGCCTATATGCCAGCCAGATTCCCGGGCTAGAAGCCACCCTTAGTGAAGCCATCACGGGGATGTTCCCCTCCAGGGAACTGGCTCAAGTGGCACTGCAATTTACTGCCAATCCAAAGCGTTTCCAAGAAAACCTCTTTGGAGGAAGGTTCTTGAAGAATTTGATCCAGTTTAACTTCACAGGGGCACTTGGCACTAGTGGGAAATACAGCATTGGCCAGTTTTTCCCACAGGAGGATGTGGCAGAGAGGGATAATGGCCAAGGCCTTCTGGAATCAGCTGAGGCGTTTTCATTGGATATATCAACGGGGAGCTCCATTTTGAGTAAACCTCTTGTAGGCAGCTTTGGCCGCACAGTGACTCTACAGGACAATCAGAATATGATGAAATTCCTTTCCTCTGTCTTGGAACTGCCAGAGTTCTTTGCTTTTCTTCAACAAGTAATTTCTGTCCCCAAAAGTGTTGCTGAAGATTTAGGTGAAGTGGTGAAACTAGCATTGGGATCCAAAGACTGTGGTGAGGAGCCAAGGTCCCTGTTTGTTCCAACATGCACCAAGGAGGGGAGGTATGAGGAAGTTCAGTGCTATGCAGGAGAGTGCTGGTGTTTGGACTCTTCAGGTAAGGAAGTTCCAGGCTCAAGAGTTCAAGGCAGACATCCAAGGTGTCCCACTGATTGTGAGAAGCAGAGGAGAAACCTGCAAAACTTGAAGCAAAGCCTGCCTGCAGGATCAGATCTTTTTATTCCCTCTTGTACTGAGGATGGGGACTTTCTGCCACTCCAGTGTTATGGGACAAATTGCTTCTGTGTCGATTTGAATGGCAAAACTATTCCAGGAATACAGGGAAAAGCTGGAAAGCCGATGCAGTGTAAGTCCTAGGGACTGGGAATTTAAAGACGTTCCCTTATTGTGTTGCAATTTCATGATTCTTGCTTCATATCTGAGTATATCTAGAAAGATATGGATGATGTATACAAACAATATTGTCCTCTAACAGGAAAGCAAGTCAGCCCTACAGCTGCAGAGGAATAGTGGGAAATACAGTGTATGTAAACCTTGATATCCTAAGTCTTAGAGATGGTCCCCTCTTTTCACAGCATAGGGTAGGCACACTCAAGACAGAGGAGCCTGAGGTCTTGCCTTGTTAATGAGCATGTCATTGGCTTATGTCTCTACGTAAGTGTGTAGCTAGTGGTATGACATCCATGATGCCCACGAGACCTGGAGCATCGGTGTAACTGAATGTGACCCATGCCAAGTATTACTTCCAGGAGCAAGTCACCTGGGCATGGTCACTGGCTCATCCTTGTCCTGAGAACCAAAGAACTTCAGTGTCTTAAACCATGAACCACTTTTAGTCTTTTAGCTCAAGAATATATCCTCAACTTGGTAGGATGTCACAGAAGTCCAAACAAGGGAGAGGGATTCAAAGGCTGATAGGTTTCTCATAAAGGTCACACAGTCAGGACAGAAAAGTGAGTCACAAACGACTTTTCAGACATCAATTTGGCATTGCAACTTGCTTGTAGACTACAAACTGTCTCTTCTTGCCCTTTTATTAATGTAATACAAAGGAAGAAGGAAGCACATAGGCTGGGGGTATTTGTCTTTCAACTTTCTGTGAACTGAAGATGACACATCAACAGGGGGAACAGACCAAGAGAAGAGCCCGCTTCTCATTTTGGAAGGAATAGCAGAGTATCCAGCAGATGATAGTGGCACATAGTGAAGGAGCTCCTCTGAATAACAGTTTGCAGTAGTAGTGGGGAATTTATCGCAATGATCTGAATTGGTAGGGGAGCTGTATCTGACAACTCATCCGTAGTGCAATCAAAAATAAACAGGTTCATAATTCTCTGGTGCTCAAAAGGAGATGAGCTCCTATGTTTTGCTATGTTTGTAGAGCTGCTTCATGCAAAATGAAGTTTGGCTCTGGAGATGGCAGAAAAGGCTTTCAACACAAACTCACTCCAGCATTTTGAAGGATGGCATTTTTATATCCCACTGGAATATTCAGTAGAGAATAGGAAGAGAGGACCACAGAATCTGAAAATTCTGTTTAGGTCCAAGGGGAAATAAAATCAACATTATCCTACTATTTAGATGGTTTCTTTTGCAGGGATTGGTTGAATAAGAATTAACTGCCGGATTATCAAGTGTAGCTGAAAATACCCAATTGGCGTTAAGAGTCAGGAAGGCATTTAGTGGCATCAAACAACTATCCACCCCAGTAAGAACTACAGGCACCTAATGTGCTCAAATTTTTAAAAAATTATAGCTATGTGCATTTTTCAGTGCTCACATGCCTTTGGAAATCTTACCCTGGTTCAGTACAGGGGTTTAAGAGCATTAGACCTCTTAATAACAGCCCAGAAATGTCCGTAGCATTGGGATAAGTGACCAAGTTTTAGTACTGGTGTTTATAGTGCTAGGGGGCTGGGGGGTCTTGTATACCTTCAGTGTACCCATAAAACGTGCTATGCATGTTTTTCTTTTCCCCAGGCCCAAGTGCTTGCCAAGTAACAGCCGGTCAGGAGTTTCTAAAGGCTGTGAAACTCCTGTTGTCAGATCCAAGCGCCGTGTCTCAGCTCTCCAGCATTTACCTCCCGCAGTGCGTTGCTGACGGTGCCTGGAGGCAGGTGCAGTGCAGTGGCCCTCCTGAGCAAGCCTTTGAGTGGTACCAAAGGTGGATTGCAGAGAACAATGAAGGCAAACCCCTGCCCGTTGCTGATCTATTGAACATCATAACTGGATATAGAGAGGCGTCTTCTGAAGGCTTTTCAGCTTTTATTAAAGCTTTGTATGAGGCTGGGCACCAGAATGTCTTTCCAGTATTTACCACATATTCCTCCTTTGCTGATCTCCCACCTGAAGTGCTGGAAGGAAATGTCACCTATGCATCTGAGAACATTTTACTGGATCCATATACATTCTGGCAGCTTCTGAATGAGCAGCTGACCTATTACCCAGGACCCTATACTGATTTCAGTGCTCCATTAGGCCACTTTGAACTTCGTGATTGTTGGTGTGTTGATAGCAAAGGAAAGCAGCTGCAAGGAACAAAGGCAGAAGTGAACCAGGTCCCAGCATGTAAGTAACAGAATTTCTGGCACATAAGTAGCAGTGTTTCTGGTCTTTGCTTTTATACCACAACAGAAAAGTCCTTTCAAGTGCTGTGAAGTAGGAGACAATGATTTGTTGGAAAGATCATCAATACTGTCATTGTTGCTGGCCACCAGAGATGGGGTAGCTCATTTTTGGTAAATAAGTGGTGTCTCAGCTTTGGGAATAAGGAGGACTAAAGTTCCATATCAAGTTTGTGTAGATTTTATAATTTGGAATTTGGACATAAAATGCTTTTGCAGAAGATACTTAGCCAGATGGCAAAGGACACTTTGAAGTTAGAAACAGTGTGTGAAGAGTTGTATGGAAAATTCAGGATTACACTGTGATGTCAATAACTTTCAAGAATGCCTTAAAAAAGCGACAAGAGGAATTTTCTTTACTGTTTCTTACTATGCAGTCAGGAGTAACAGGTATCCACTAGAAGAAGACTTAGGCCAGCACTGAAGTTTGGTAAGCCCTCTGTCTAGACATCGCCACCAAAGCTGTTGGACTCTCTTTGAGGCTACTTCAGCATATGACTTATAAGTGTAGTCACTAAAACCATTCTCATCACATAGTAATTTTCCAACTGGGAGGAAGAGACAGGACAATGAATGGCAAACTTCCAAATGGGAAAGGAGTGCTGGAGATGCCAGTCCTGTGGGCAAATGGGGAATAGAGGGGACAAAGCAGATATTAGCAGAGAGTTATTTTAGCAGAGAAGCTTTCACTGAGCTGGTTTGGTGTGTTGAACTGCTGTGGCTGAGTCAGTAGATGTATGGAGAGGACAGGCCAAGTGTCAGCTGCTGCTCTGGACCCAAGGGATATACCTTCAGTTTCCTTTCTCATTCTCTTTTCTGATTATCCACGTTTTAATGACTGTTACTGAGAGGGGCAGTTCTGTAGAGACTTGTAATTCCGTTTGTAACCAATGATGAGGAAGTAACTTAAAATTATCAAGGCTGTGGCCCAAGACTTGGAGAATGTTTGGGTGATTCCTGGTACTCTTGGGCTCTTGTGGTTATATAGCTAAGCGTTGTCAAGTCTCATTTGCTTGCTTCGTTAAGCAATTCAAAACAAAGTAAGTGCAGGAGGAAGCAGAAGATGCTAATTAAAAGACCAGCTAGTTTTCACATGCAAATATTTATTTGATTTAGATGAAAGGCATTAAAATATCCTCTGCTTCTACAGGTCCTGGTATATGTGAAGGTGTGAAGCAGGAAGCCATGAAATTTATGGAGGAGGCAGAGCAGCTCATCCTAGCATCAAATAGTTCCCACTTTCCTTTCGGAGAAAGCTTCTTGATGGCAAAGGGAATACAGCTTACAGACAAAGACCTTCTACGTTCTGCTCAGCCCTACAGGACAGAGGCGGTGGTCTCTGAAGCGCTATTATCGGGCAGTGACTATGCTCTCCAGCTGGCTGCACAGTCAGGTAGGTGAAAGAGATGAGAGATTAATTAAATGGATCAACGCCCAGGATCTGTGCTAGAGTATTCATGTCAAATGCAACTTTGCTGAAAAACAGATGCAACTCAGCAAGTGTAATTAATCAGTGTAATTAACCTGCCAACCCCAAAGCTGATTTGTCCACATGTATGACACGATGCATATATAAGATCTGGACACCTACCAGACTTTATGTACTTGCAGCATATGTTAAGTTGCCTTCTAAAGTACAGGGAACATTTAGGTGTTTGCGAACCCATGCATTTAAAATATCTTGCATAGGCCCCTAATAGCTTGCTTTTACTTATCATTTATAGTCTTGCATTTCTACTGGCGGAGGCACTTTACTTCAAAACGTTCTGCTGGGGAAGCAACGCAGCTGGGATTTCTCCCTTTCATCCCACAGTGTGATGGCCTGGGAAACTGGGAGCCAACTCAGTGCTATGAGAGCACAGGTGAGCAATACCTAATAAGATGCTCTGGGCTATCTGAACAAAGCAAAGCTAAGCAGAATTCTTTTAAAAAGATGGAAAACTTGTATTCTTGTAGCCAAAGTGGAGAGAGGTGAAGTGGTCCACAAGATGGGTGGAAAATTGACTGGAGTGAGGGACTCACTCACATGGCAGCTCATTTGGGCTCAAAAATCAGTCAATGGTCAGTTTTTCACTGCCAGTAGCATGCCTTGGGGGTGAATTTGGGGCTGGTATTGTTTAATGACCAGGACAATGCGATGGAGTGCACTCTCAGCAAGTTTGTGGATGGTACCAAATTGCTGGGAGTAGATGATACACTGCAAGATAGGGCTGCAATGGAAGAGTCTCACCAGAGCTGCTACGTTCCCATTCTCACCACTGCTGTCAAGTGTGGTCTACTTGTCTTTGGATGGCAGAGTTAACTGTGATTGTTACTTGCTGGGGTTAAGCCACGGCACTTAGATTTACTGACCACTTTCTATAGTGCTGGTGAGGATGAAAATCCTGCCAGTACTCAACAGAGTTAACAAGGAATGCTGCAGTGCAACATCTAAAATAAGGCTGCTTTTCTTCCCTGGCCAGGTCATTGCTGGTGCGTGGATGAGAGAGGACGTTATGTCATGGATTCCTTGGTCTCACGCTCAGCAGAACTTCCCAAGTGTCAGTTGGTTTTTCTTGCTAAATGTCTGTCTTTATCTATTCTTACAAATATTAACATTTATTGAAAATTCTAGTATGATATGCATGAAGCAAGGCTTGTTTCTAACCATTGCAAGAAAAAAAAGTAATTTTATGCTTGTTTTGCTAATTCATTTCATTTCACTATGTGTGATTTTGGCTTGCATGATTTGAGAATGGATGCTCTACTGTTGGTGGTCCTGCTTGACCAGGGATGTTGGACCAGATGACCTCCAGAGGTCCCTTCCAGCCTCAACCATTCTGTGATTCTGTGCTTGTCGAACACTGATCAGAGATTCCCTGCCTGAGGCTGTAGCAGACCCTAACGGAGATGTGCAAAGGAGCTGGGGATGTATCCCTTTATCTAGCTCAGGTTTGAGAACCTGATTTTATTTTAACATGCATGTATGTTTTCCCTCTTACAGGCCAGACATCATGTCAACGGTCTCGAGCCAATGCCTTAATTTCCAGCTGGAGACAGAGCGGATCAAAGCTGGATGCCTCCACAGCAGATCTGTTTGTCCCCTACTGCCTTGAGGTGATTTAACATGACTGCGGGAGGAAGAAACAAAACCTCCCTCGTTTTGCTTGCACCCTGCCAAAGACCCGTACGGTTTCAGTCTATACTCCCTAAGCATCCCTTGCGCATTCCTAGTAATCTGAAAGAAAAGGGTAAGACAAAACAAACAGCAGGCATCGCCCTGCCTAAGGCAGAATTTAAATGGTTTTGAGATGAAGAGTGGGAATAGGAAGCTCCGTCCCTGCCTGTGCTGCCCTCCTACAGGGTGGCTCTGCCTAGTCCTTTTGCAAAACTTAATTGACTGACATTTGGGAGGCTCCTTCTTCCTGAGCTGTGAATGTCAGGATGAGAGGGAGTTGGATGCAGGTATCCCAAAATAGGGTCTGTGATGCTCTCGAAACATGGCAGTGAGCAGGATGGAGCCCCGAAATGGGCAAAGAACAGACAATTCAAACAAAGATTATACCACAACTTCACCTCAATGGGCTTTCAGTCTGCATACTGCTTCTCTCAGGACCTGATCTGTGTATTAAATTAGGTAGACTGTATTTTAATATTTTGTGTTTCTTTTCAACCTGTTGTATTAATGGACAAATGTAAATATAATCAAATATTTTAGCCAACCTTTGATGTAGGATTGTGGTGTGTCTGTCTTAATATACGTTGCTCTGCAATGACATGTAATTCATTCTTTGTAGACAGGAGAATACGCTGTGCTACAGAGATCCGACACAGATATTTGGTGTGTAGTTCCTGTGTCAGGAGAAGTATTTCAGCGTGGCAGCAAAGCTTCAGATGGCAGTCCTGAGTGTGAGTAATGCTTTACCCGCAGCCTCTGATGCTGGTGGCAATGCCTCACGCTTTGCAGCATATGTACTTTCCTTTTCTGAATGATGCCTGTGAAACACAGTAGGCTTACAGTTTAATTCCTCAGTGATGTGGTACGTACAAGGACATCAACATTGAAAGGGTATCTGAAAATAGTTATTCTTTACTTTCATAACACCAGAAATAAACCAGTCTAGACAAATTGATCAACAGGTATTTATGCATTTTGTTTTACCTTCCATTCCTTACCACCATAGAAAATTCTTTGGACTCATCAGTGAGTTTTCTAAGGCAGTGACCTGTGGAAACTGGTCCACATGCAGTCAGTCCATTTCACATGGTCCACAACTGCTCCATGGAATACAATTAGGTCTATGATACCTGTATCGTCTTAAAATAAAGACAGAGAACTGTTGAGGTCTCATAGGAAACGGTTGATCCAAAAAGTTAAAGAATCCCCTTGCTCATAGGAATTGGGGTGCCCTATTGGAGCCTGCGCCCTGGCTCTGCTCTTGGGAGCAGCACAAGCAGCCCAAGAGCCTATGGTTCTTCTACACTTGTTTCTTCAGTTCTTTAGTGATTTTCTGATTGCCATCTCCCATAGAAAATTTGGGAGAGTAATCTGCTGGCCTCAGGCAAACCCTCTCCTAGAACATCTGTAACAGAGGACATAATTAGTCAAGAGAGGATAGTGAGTTAGATGATAGAACTTTCAGCTGACCCAGCAAGTCTGCTGTCTTTTTCTTATGTTTGGCTAATGATAGAAGTCCATGAAGATCTGATGGAGCATAAGTAACTGCATGTTCACTGAGGAATTAATCGTGTAATCGTTCATTACACAGGTTTACAAGCTTGCTCTGACACTTGCAGATGAACAAAATTAGTAAGAACCAACTTTGTCTCAAGTTCGGATTGAACTTTTTGGGTCTTCTTGTTAGGGAGTGGTTCCGCACGCTCATGTCCCTGTTTTGTTTGTTTGTGGGAGACCATAAATATTACTGTTCCATGGTTATTTTATTTTTTTCAAGTTATGCAGGTATTAAAGTGGGATATTTTGACTATTTTAAAATGTAAATAATTGTATTCTTACATTTAAAATGACCTTGCTCAAAATTATTTATTAAAAAGGTTAATTTGATTTTTTAAAAATTAAAATATGAGCATCTAAATGATACACTATCAAATTTATAGCAAAAAAAAGATGTTAATGCAAAATAAATATCAGTATTTTTTTCCACTATTCTATTGATTATTGATCTATTCTATTGATCTATTTAATCTTTAGAAAAAAAGTGTGTTTCCTAGTGGAAGTAAAATTCCACATTTCTAAAATGATTCAAACTGTTTATGGCTTCATGATCACTCATCTTTCTTTCTTATACAAAAGTAGGCTGAAAGCACTGCTGTTAGTCTTTAAGAGAATTTTGTACATCAGTATAGTTCATTTCTGCAGATAATCATTTTGTTGTCTTCTGTTCCGTATCCTGCGATGAATTTCTCTCTTTAAAGGTCCTAGTTTCTGTAATATGCTGAAGAATAAAACCGTTTTACGAGAAGCTGGCAAAGGCTACATCCCACAGTGTGAAGGGGACAAGGGGACATTCTCACCTGTGCAGTGCAGCCAGGATCAAGAGAGCTGCTGGTGTGTCTTTGACAACGGAGAAGAGGTGCCGGGGACACGAGTAAGCGGAGGAAGACCTGCATGTGGAAGTGAGTTCTTTATAGACACTTTTACTCAAGCAATACGCTTATCTTTGTATTAGAGCAGATTTCAGGCACACCTGGGCATGATGTTCAGTTTTCTTCAAGTGCTTTGTCAGGGAGAAAGGAGAAGGGAATGGATCTTTGACTTTTCCTTATTCATAAAATTGGTTAAATCAAAGCAGTTGAGCTATTAAACTTAGCTAAAAAGTCAATCTGAATAGCTTGCTGCAAACTTGAACCTGTTCCAGTCTGAGCTGGCTCTGGGATTAAAAGCCATTCAACTGACTAAAATAAAATTTGAAAAATATATGCTTCTGCTATTCTGACCCTTGGCTTGTGACCAAATTGTGAAAAGGATGTGTGCCAAAACACTACATATTCACAGAGTATTTCCTGCATGACCAGAGCTGCGAAGCACTGCAATTCACTCATGGTTTCCAGTGAGATGTCCAAATGGGAGACATTTGGATAAATTTAATTTGCAATGGCCTTTATACATCTCCCCATCACTCAAGTGAAGCAAAACAAATTAAAATTTTTATAAAGCTATGTTCCAAGGTGTAACAATTAGTGGAAACTAGAGATGTAAAAAAGAAAACCTTCAATCAGTGCCTGCAGGACACTACTGTTTCCATGGTTCTTTTGTTTCTTTTAAATGAGAGCTGTTGGCAGATTTAGGAAGATGAGACCACATGATAAGAAATTGCTTCGGTTTCCTTTTGTGATTCTGCTATATAGAGCAACACATGCTCACCAACCAAATATCTGATTGTGTCAGCCCAACTGTCTGTAAGGCATTTTAATCAATTAGATAGCTCCTCAGCCAACTTGGAAGCCACCACCACCATCATTGTCTTTGAAGTCTCTTCTACCAGTAGAGAGCTATGCAGATGGGATTTTATGAGAAACCACAAGGATTGTATCTGATGAACTCCAGAGCTAGGGTGGTGTAGCCATGTAGGTATAGCAGTCCAGTAGAGCTTTCTAGCTCTTCAGAGAAGCAGAGCTGATCAGTCTCACAAGTACAGCACTGCTGCCATCCTATTTTCAGGTTATGGGCGAGTATCTCTGTGGGACACAGGGGGCTCTGTGACGTTTATTTTGTTTGGACCAGCTGGAGGAACTCAACGCGACACCCAGTACTCAGCAGTACGGATTGACTTTCCCATAGACTCTGAAGGTGAACAGAGAAAAGTGGAAGCGTTTCTAGTAGGCCGGAGAAAAGTCAGAACTAGTTGTTAATGTTAAGTCCTTGATATCTCCTTCTCTCCATGAAAGCTCATTCTCTAGGTTTCACCCTAAATTCCAAGGGAATTTATCAAATATGTTCTAAGGAGGGTGAGGGTGTAACCTGAGATATGCCTTTAAGATGATTTTACATTTTGTGTGCACATCTGATGTTTCTTGGGATCTTGTAAAGCTGTACTTTTCCTAGAGGAAATAGTGACTGAATGATTAATGACCTTTCTTTTTTAAAAGACTGAGCTGAGAGAGAGAACTACTTTGAAAATATAGTGGAAACTTGGCTTTACTGAAAGCTATTTGTTATTTTCTGCACAGAAATATGATTGAAATAATCTTTAATGATTTTCCTGGATTTTGAAATAGCAATGGAAATTTTTCATGCTAAACAACTTCGTTATTGTTAAGAATAAAGAAACAAAAGTTATTTTTCCCCTCATTCTATCCAGCCTTGTACGTCTAGGCCTGGGAACTATTAAAAATTGTTCAGGAAAAAGGGAAGGGAGTACTATCTCACTATCTTGGAGATCTTGTCTATCAGCAAAAAAGCTTGTGGTGGGAAAATATGATAAACTCCTCCAACATCAGAACAGACAGCTGTAAACAACAAGTAATAACTTCACAGTGCCCAGTGCATGCAATGAGGTTTTCATTACCTTAATCATTTCCATCAGAGGTAGAATCCAACTTTTTCTAGTTGACATGCACCAGAGGGATGATGCCATGTATCCTAGCAGTCCTCACACACATGTCCCATCCTCATGCCTACTTTCCACAGCTCTGAGTGGAGACAGAGGAGAGAAGGCATTCCAGAGAAGGTCCTGGAGACAGTATTTCCTTATGGAAATCTTTAGAAACACCTATGAAGAAGTTTCAATATTCAACTGGATTCTGATTCACTCCTACAGGACCGAGAAATTGGGGCAGAAACAGAAGAATGACAAAATGGTGCAGGCTCGATATTGATAGTAAATGAGATGACATCTGTAGAGGGTTAAATGAACAAATGACTGATTGCGAACTGAAACCTGCGAACCACACCAGGAAACCATCCATCACACATGTTTTGAGGGCTGTTTATTTCCCTAGTTCATACACCAACTCTCATTGGAACAGACAGTAAAAGACTAAAGCAGCATGTGGCTGAGACTGGGTTTGACTTGCTGGATGTAGAAATGTGTTAGAGCAATAAAGAGACCACGGACTGTTTTTTATATACTTTGTATGAAGAGATATTAATGTAATTACACATAATGGTGGATGTAGTTTACAATGGTCAGGGTAAGTGTTACTGTCTCTTTTACAGTGATATCTCTGGGCCCTAAAATCTTGAGTGGTTTATTAAAAGTTTGTTAAGCAAGGATGCTGGGTTTCCACCTTTACTGAAAAAGAGACTGGATACAGAGTCAATGAGTGAAGAGAAGGAATGTAGCGGCCCCATTTACAGAGTTATTGCAGAAAAGATGCTATAAAGGAGACTTGGAAAAAATGCATTTGGCAATTCAGAGAGACAGATATGAAAGCTTTTATTTTGGCATTGTAATGTTCAGGGTTGGAAAACAAATATGTACTGTGCACACTGGATTCCAGATTCATCCTGCAGTGTTTTAAACTTTAACCGAAGTGGCTGCTAAGCTAAGGAATTAATCTCTGTATCTCCCTCAGAAGGGAAGAGAGAGGTTGCTCAGACCTGAACCATCAGCAGTGTTTGCCTTCCTCCAGTGACGGGTGGGTTGGGACTGATCTGAGCATTGGTATTTGGAAAATTATCTATATGTACCAAGCAAGTGAATCGTATGATATAAGAACATCTTTTTCTTTATATTTATTTCTAAGTGAGGAAGTTGTTTTTAATTCCTATGTTTTGTAGCTCTAGAACTCAGAAGTGTTTCATTATTACTAGATATATTCAGTAATTAGGTTGGGATTTGGCAAATATTGAGTGAAGCATTGGTTTGTACTGATAAGTAGAAATTAGTTATTGTAGCTAGCCTGCTATAATTTGTTACAGTGGGCTAGCAGGGTTGAAATGACTGTATTGATGTAGAGTGAGTTGACAGGGTAAACTTTGTGCTCAACTCCAAAGCTGTATGCTACAGTTAAGGACCTGCTGGGTCACCAGAAACATCCTGGTGCTGTTGAAGACAGCATAGTAATGAGCTCCTCATCTTAAAGTTTTCAAACTTCATTCTAAAAGGAATGGAGATTTTTTTGTTGTTGTTGTTTTGGCCCTACCTATTTCCACTGGATATCTTTTGTAAAGGTTTGTTCTGCTGATGGTTAGAAACCTCCTTCTCATTTCCTGCTTAAATTTATTCATGACTGTTTTAAACTTCTTAGAAACCATGCACGTAGCTTTCTGGACCCAATGCATTACCCATCAGAGTCAGTATGTGTATTTTCATCAGCTTTAGTAAACTCAACCATGATGACATCAACCCAGATCCAAGTTGAGATGAGTGGGAAATGCACAGGGTCTTGGTTTTCTCTGTTGATATGAGGGTTATGTGAACTTTTTACTAGAAGTGCTTCGTAGTATGCCACTAACATATGCCCTTTCTCATGTGCCTAAAGGTGTGCAGTGTGCTCTGCCATTTGGTGCCTCATCTGTTCTCAACGGAGCTGTATTTTGTGAAAACATTTCTGGGCAAGCTTCAAGCGTTCAGCAGTGCCGGCTGGTGTGTCGCCAGGGCTTCCACAGTGCCGTTTCCAGCACGTCGTTTCAGTGTGATGTACAGCAGCGTCGATGGGTCTCGGCTGCCCCGCTCTATCAGGCCTGCCAGAGTATGTCTGAACTGCTGTGGGTTGGGAAGGGTGCAGAGCAATGTCAACAGATGTACAAAAATGCGCTTTCATCACAAAGCTACCGTGTGAATGGCAATAATAGGGCACAATGGTTAAATGGGATCTGCTGAATTAAGGTGAGGTAGATTAGTCCTGTCTTCTGCCATTTTCATCTCTGTTTCTTGGCTAGCTCCTATGCCAGAGACAGTCCCACTTTCTGTAATAATATAGCTATAAATAGTTATTCAATCTATATGCAGATTTTTCTTTGCAAGTTAAGAGATGCTGGCACCATGAAGTGATTCTGATGGAACCACTTAGTCTTGGAATAACAGATGAGCACCAGATGTTTGAATTTGGCAGAACTTAACTGTTTATTTGCATAATCAAGTCACTGTTACTTCTGCATCTTTCTGCAGCAGTCTGTTCTTTAGGATTATTATTGTCTTTCTTGGCTGACTTGTGGTATTTTTCAAATCATTTTTCTTTCAAGAAAAAACCCGGCACTTTAAATCTTGGGAGAATCAGTTATCTATTCAGTGTTCAGAGCTCATGTAATTGGATATTGATGTTGGTCTTTTCAATTATTTCAAACAGAGATACATTCTGATCAAAATGGCAATTTGTAGCAGTGCTGAACTTTGATGCAAAGTTCGGAGCTACTCTTCGTCTCCAAAATGGGTTAAACCCGTTCTGGAAACCACTGTGTTGACACATTTCCAGTTGTACCCCAGGTCTTCTATTCCAAATGTAAATGATTTTAAACTTTAAATTTCAGACTGAGACTTTTGTCTGTCTGTAATCATGTTTGCTAGGTTTTCATAGCACATTATGAAGTAACTTTCGTGTTTGCCGCATGGCAGTTGAATAACCGTAAGGCCAGAGAGGAGTGTGTGGCAATCTGATACAAGCTGCGGTTTAATGCAAGCTAAGGACTTCCCACAGTAATTTGTGTTTGAAATAATACAGCATGGTTTTAAGGACAGAACAAAAAATTCCCAACGCATCTGAAGGCGATTGAAAAAACTTCACGATAACGGAGAATTCACCACAACATTTAGTAATTTGTTCCAATGGATAATTACCCATGGTCTTTAACATCTTATTTCCTGTTCCTTATGTGTACACTTAGAGATTGTGGTTAAGTCAGGTCTTAAGTACTTTCTGATAAACTAAACAGATAGAGAGCTTTATGCCTTGCACAAAGAAGCAGGCTTTTGTGTCTCTCCCACCATTCTCCTTGGATGCTCTCCAGGCTTTCCCACGCTCACTAGCTCATTTTGGGAGTGAGGGATGGAACTGTGCTCCAGCAGTGACACTTGTAGTGGTGCAGTGAGGGTCTGTAGAGGAGGTGAATAAAGGACAGCTCTGCTGCTTCTCCAGGCTGGTGGGGTAAGACCCAGCTCCATTTGGAGGTGGCATGGCAACATCACCGTTGTGCTGAATCTGAGATAACAAACCCTCCATGAAGCCTGGGATCAGCGTAACTCCAGTGGAGACAAGAAAATTGCACCTTTTTTATTCTGGCTAAAAATTTGCTAAATAGATTTACATTTTGTGACTGATGAGCTCACAAGTTTCTCATGGGTTTGTGTGATTTGCGTCACTTTGGTTTGCTATCAAAAAATTGGAAGACCCTTGCAGATATCCGTGTCAACACCATTATTATGCAATCAAATTTATTCTTTCCTAAAGCTTGATTCCTAGTTAATTTGACAAGCTAGGTTTCTGAAAGCACATTTGAATTAGTATTAGTTGCTTTAACCATTTAATTCATTTTTAAATAGAAGTTCTTATATGATTGTGTCTGAGAGAAGCAGAGGTTGACAGGTCAATAATTTCTGTCTTCCTGTTTCTTTTTCAAGTATTGGCGTAATGTCAGCTTTCATCTAGTTCTCTGGAAATTCTTATCTGCCAAGGCTTATAAAAAAATCCTCATTAATGATCCGGATTGTTCCTTATCCTTCTGTGAGTTAGTGCTCCAATGTAAAATATCTCATTATTATATAACTGTATCACCTGGCTTTTTCTCTAATGCACAACATATATATTTATCAAGCATGTCTCTTGCTGTTTGTTATTTCCTACAAACAACTCTACTGCTTTCACCTAGAAATGGGGAGTTGCTATTGATGCAAGATCAAAATGCCAAATCAATGTTGTCTTTTCTGAAAGTAACTTTGAAAGTGAGTTTCCACATTAAATAGTGAGGCTACTAAATGTGCTTTCTACTTATTTTTTAGAGCTCCAATTACTTCAGACTGTCCAAGCTCAAACACACTTTCAACTGCTACTGCCTCCTGAGAAGACTTGTAGTTCTGACTACTCTGGATTACTCCAGGCATTCCAGATATTTATTTTAGATGAGTTGAAGGCTCGTGGTTTGTGTCACCTCCAGGTAATTTCAATTCCTTATTCTCTGCTATTCAGTGGTTGGTTTTGTTTTGGGTTTGGTTTTTGGGTTTTTTAATAAAATAAAAAAAAGAGTGAGATACAAAGTAGAACTTTGCCTGTTTGAGTGAGGTGGAAGACCTGAAAATGCCCTGAAATCTGTTAAGATTGCCAGCACCCACATATGGATAGCTGGGAAAATAAGATATTTAGTCTCACTGACCCCAAGTCAGCAGATTAGCTTACCTGTAGGCACAGAAGTCATATTACATCGGTCTAATATTTATTAAAAATATATTGTAATGGAAGAGAACCATTTGACTATTCTTACAGTGAGTAAATGACCTGCTAAAATTATCTCTTCCTACTTTTACTTCTGTGTTTACAGGCTCTTTTGAAAATGTTGCCTTCGAGCATAGCACTATGCAACTGAATAGTGAAAGACAAGAACTAGAAGATTCTCAGGTTCACTAACTGTGGTTTCATTTAATTTTGAATTCGAGGTAAATGCATTTGGAAATACCAGCTCGGTTTCTGTCTGTGATGATTCCACTGTCTATGTCGAATGCCTGAGCATGGACCGCCTGGGGGTGAATGTCACGTGGAGGACTCAGCTGGAAAACATCCCAGCAGCTTCTCTCCCTGACTTACATGATATTGGTAATTTTTTCTTCCTCTGAGGTTTCTGTGAATTAAGCCTACTTTGCTTTTAATTGTTTTGCTTCCCTGTGCTCTTAGGAGGCACTAACAATGTAGTATAAATGCGCCCAGAAAGAGTCTTTATAATGCTGGAGTTGTATTTTTGAGCTTTTGGTGTTGATATATTTATCTTTTCAGGCTGTGGCTGCACTGTGGAAAGGAGCTATAATTGAATGTTTCTTTCAGATAGGACTGCGTCTCCCAGCTTCTTTGAGATGATTGGAATTTACTTTATCGGGCATGAGCTCAACCGTCCCAGATGTTAATTTCCATTGGGCAGTGGTGGAAAAGATTGTGTTCCTTATTGAGTTGGACTTAGAGAAACACAATTCACACATTGCTAAAAATAGAACTGATTTCTCCCAAGGTTTTTTTTTCCATTTCTTTCTTTTTTGCTCCTTATCTTTTTCTATTTGTTATATATTATTATATATTTGACACAAAAGAATGATCCTTACCTCAGAAGTCCTAAAGGAGTTACACAGAGAGCACAGACTGGTAGATCTTTGCTGTGGTTTCCAAGTGAGTTAGGGATGGTGTAAGGAACTTCTTTCAAAGAAGTCAGTGTTCCCTTTAAAAAAAAAAGGTGTAAAGGCATATTCTAAGTATAAATGCCCTCTGTGCCAGCTTGTCTTCAGATTTACTGCCTTGCAATGGCATTCCCAGAACTAAATAATTCTGTCTGCACATGTCCTTCCCTCTAACTTTGGGACTTGGAGAAGTGTGCCCTACAGCAGTGTTTGCCTGATCAGAACCGAGTTCAAAGGCCTTCAGGACACAGAAGGTGGCTGCAGCAGTCGTGTGGTTCCTGGTTTGCAGTCTGTTTATGTTTACATCTATTACATTGCTCCAGATTATAAGGGAAACTTGAATATTCAAGCAGTTTGCAGAAGGTGGATCAAAGTACAAATGTGTATGGTTTTACATTAAACTTTATTTTTGAAAGTCTTTGAGGGCATTACATTTTTTACCCTCTCCACACTATAATTTCCCCATAGTACTAAAATTGCTTTTCAGGGAATGACTATGGTTTCAGAAGAGGCAGTATGAGCCTAGTCTGGGGAGATCAGACAACTGGGAACCTGCTCTCTACCTTCTAAGGCAGCTTTGGGACTTTCTGTTTGAGGTGTTCTCTAGGCTATTTACACACAGTGAGCAAATTGGTTCTCTGATTTGAAAGTCTACATTACTAAAATAGCTTTGTTCTTTTCCTGGCTTCTTTACAGGTAAATGAGAAGTCTTGCTTTTTGTTTTCTCCTGTGAAGTAACTGAGAAAAAAACCCGCTAAACAGAAGCGTAGCATGCATATGTTCCCAATGGAGAGCCTCAAACCTAAATCACTCACGAATGCTTCATTACTTCTTTTTTTTTTTTGCCGATATTTTCATGTACTAAAATCCGAGGCTGTGCAGATCCCTTCCTGGAGGATCTTACGCCATTTGGCTTTGTAGCTTAGGCCTCAGCTCTAAAATAGTGAGGAACATTTGCAGCAACTTCTCTCTTTTCTGTTCAACAGGCAAAAATACTAATGATTATAAAAATGAGCTTTTGGTGGATGAACATACAGTAAACAGTTCCAATCAGTGAGACTGGAGAAAATAAATCCCTACTCTATACAACTGATATTTTAAGCTGTGCCTTTGTGCTCTGTATTTTCCTTACAGGAAAAAAATAACAGTAATATTTTTATTTCTCTTTTCTCTCACTTTTTCATTGGTCAATATAAACTCTAAGTAATAATATGATCCCGTTCATGCTGAAATTATAGTTTCATTCAACAGGAGCAAATCCTAAATCAGACTTCTTCCCACTGCACTACACAAGATGTAACTATTTGCAGGTTATTTCTGTATGTGAAAAAAGCTATTGTTGTCCCAGAATCCAGGTCTCTAAAGGTATACCAAGCCCTGGAGAAATGCTTAGTAAGAATTTCCAGTAAATCTAACAAAGCATGAGATGTGTAGTAGCTTAAATTGTCAAAACCGTGCAGCAAAATGGGAGCAAAACCAGGAAGCGCATTGTATCTGCCATGCTTTAGAGCATGCTCAAGGTCCCGGGAAGCTCGTCTTGGTCCAGAAGCCAGGTCCCATGTCAGCAGGGAAGCGTGGTCCCAAGCTGGCCAGCCTTGCTGGCAGGGTCGGACCAAGGCAGCTTGTGTAAGATGTTACCGCAAGCCTGTGGCTGACATGTCTGTCAGGCACTGAATTATTCTCTGTTGACGTGTTATAGGATGTACCTGTCTATTTGCAATGCGTGAAGATGTATACTGCAGTTAAACGCTTATATACTCTGAATGTAAAGGATACTCCATAGGCATGGATACATAATGTGGTCATAGGTCATATTTAATGATAATGTTAAGAACTTTTCAGCACAGGGAACCATTTTAGACTAAAGGAAATTCAACATACCAAAGTGGGTTGTTACTGGTTTGACTGCTTCTTTTCTACACGTGAATTCCTTCCAGCTGTCAATTCAAGGATATTTTTAATTCTGCTACAGCTAGTCACTAGACAATTCGGAAGGATATTTGCTTGAATAAAAGGCTAATCTGCTTATTCCTGCTTTCAATTATGGGACAATTTCTGGCAGAACATTTGCAAAGTGTTGTTGTTTATGTGGTGATCTCCAATTACTTCCTTCCAAGTATCATTTTTGGCCTGGGGCTGAACAAAACTCAGCGCTATTTTTGTTGATATTAGTATGTGTCAGTGCAGTAGGATAGGTTGCTCAAATCTGGAAGAAGTAGAGCATTGAGAATATGAGGACACAACTGCCAGCTTTAACATGAGGTCCATTTGCTTTAGCCCATAATTGTAACAACCTCATGTCCCTCCTCTGCAAGGGGGAAACAACATCTACATGACAGCAATCGGCTATGGACCAACATTTGGGAGGAAAGGGCACCTACTCTTTCAGTGTTAAAGGTCTAGGATGATCTTTCAGAAAAAGCATCGTACGCCTGCGGTCCGTTCAGCACGCCAGGAGGGCAGCGCTGCGTCGCCGGAGCCTGTACCTGACTGTGAAATTTTCTCCCCGCACGACTGAGAAGCCACCCCTGGGCTACAGTGCAACGTTAGGAAACTCAGCATGTGAGAAGGCAGCAGTACCCTCAGCTATATGCCTTGGACACGTCACAGAATAATAATCTTTGTACAGCGTGTGATCTGTAACATTCCTCACACTCTGTGTGTATAACATCCTCTCTGTGAAAATTCAGTGTCCAAGGTCATTGGTGTACCCACAAAAGTCAAAGTATGTACCACATAAAACTTCCAGTTTGCTGGGTGGATGGGCTGCCCATCACCTGTAGCTGCAGGAGATCCTTGTCTTGCGAATTTGAAGCAGTAAACCACACCGACATTTCATTCAATGCCATACAGCCTGCAGGGATAAACAGAATGTGACAGCAAACAAAATCCGCTGGCAATGCTGTTCTTTAGTACTTCTGGTCCAACCAAACTGGGGAATTTGCTCTTGATTGAGCACTGGAGATTGTCCTTGCACAAGTCATCAGAAGGGAAGCTGTGTGCACAACTAATATAGAGAGTAGGAAAGGTACGCACTGTTTTCCAGCTTTAGACGCCAGATTCAGCAATTGTGAAGACCGTGTCTGTTGCAGAGGTGGATATGTTGAATTTCAGTAGTGCAATGGAAGGTGATTATTATATTGTAACAGATGCTGGCCTTCAAAAACAAACCAACAAAATGCTGGAAAAGAAGCAAATGATATCCATTGAAAAAAACAGGAATAAATTAAATCTGAATGTCAGATAAACCTGGTTTTCATCTGCTGAATTTTTGTAACTAAGAAATCAATTTTTGTTCTCTGCTTTAGTTTTTGAATATGCCTTTGGGTTTTTTTTTGTTGGTGGTGTTTCAGGTTTTTTTCCTGTTTATTTAGCATCCTCTACATATATTGAGATTAGAATTTTAATCTGATAAACACTGTACAGATTCATTCTTGTCTGCTGTTTGCTAACATGCTTGTATGTCTGTATCTGCCTATGTTTTTAAGTTAAAGTTCCTCAGTTTCTGTATGACCATCCATTCCCATACTGGAAATCTCTTTCATGCTATTTTCTTGTATTTTTTCCCCATTTAGAAAATGCAATTGTTGGAAAAAATCTGATTGGAGCATTTATAAAAGAGATTAAGGATGGTGGTTTTCTGCTGCATTTGGACTCCAAGCAATTCCTAGGAGATTCTTTTGTTGATTTTCCCTGGGATGAAGAGTTTGATCTGTCTCCGAGAGTGCAGCTAGGATGTAGAAGTGGGTTTCGAAGAACTTCATCCCTTGGGAAAGCAGTCCCAAATTCACAAGGATGTGGTATGTCTCAGTTTAGCTTTCCCTTCTTTGATGCTGTTGTTAGGAATCGGTATCAAGCTAAAGTTAGAAAATCATCAGCGAGCTTGTGTTTATGGTTAATCTGTGAAAGGCGTGAAGCACCAACATGAATGACAGATCTGAGGGGAGATGGGAATTAGTGCTTTCCTTACTTTTCAGTCCTTGTGTTGAACCAATGGTTTGGAAATAGGCATCATGGCACTGTCATAGTATAGAAGATTTTGCAAACATTTTGGGGGATTTTTTTAGATCTGTTTGGTATTAGAAGGTCTTTCTGTAATCTACATGATCCTTAATAAGAAGATTTCACAACGATAATGGATACGGAGCTTCAGATGATGATACATTACCCAGAATAGAAACCTAGACACAGAAAAGGCAAAAGTCCTCAAATTGTGAATTCCTGGGGCAAGTCCAGCCAGCTCACATGGAAGCTTTCTTGGTGTTGGCCAACACCCAGACCTGATTACACTTCTGCCCTCTTTTCATCTTCTTTCCTTCTGTTTAGTCTGCTTCCCTGGAACGACTGCTTTTCTGTCAACATCCTGCTTAGGGCTGCCAAACCTACCTTTTCAACAGGTCCCCGTGGCTGTGTCTAGCGCTCCTGTGTGCCAGGTCATGCTGCCAAAGAGCCTTTGCCTGAACAGTCCCGCTCTCGTTTCTATCAATATCAGCCCTCCTACAGCGCAACCCCCATTGTTCTCCTTGGCCCACTTAGCCTCAGTGAGTCCATGTCTGTCTTATGTCAGTTTGGGATGTATTCACTATGTCTATCCTTTTTTTCTTTTTTTTTTTTTTTTGGGGGGGGGGCAGGGGGGAAACAGAGGAGGGATGTACCACTTCTAAGTATAAGATCACCAGTAGCAAGTACTGGATAAGTTTTCCAAAATGGGGAATATTTTCAGATGGGAAAATTTCAACACTCTGGAGCTTAAGTTAGAGACCCTAAGAGTGAATCAAAATACATGAAAACAGCTTAGCTCCCTGCTTGGTATGGTGTTACTCTTCGGTTTAGGAGAGATTTCTAATGCCTGGTGAAAGGCTTCAAAGTAATCAAGAGATGAATCAATTTTGAGCTGCTGCAGTTTCCAGCTTGGATCTTTAAGGGTAAGTTGACTGCAGTTTCAGTTCATCTCCATAGTCTGAAACACTTCAGATATTGGTTATTTAAATACACCATGCAGAAAAAAGATTAATTCCTACTGAGAATCCGGACTCTGTAACAACTTGCAGTTACTTCACAAGATGTACTCTTGGACTGATTAAATGTATCATTAGTTATTAAGTAGAGTCCATCACTTAAACCAGAAGAACTTACAAAGAATTGCATCTTTCTGCCAAATATTTCCTACCAGGGATAAAGGCCTTGAGGAAGCAGTGAATTGATTTGCTTTGGAAGTTAGTCCATACATATTTGAACCAGCTAGCTGTAGAAAAAGGCACTCAGCAGAACAGACATCATAGAGATGTGGAGAGGAGATAGTTTCTGCTCCAGCTTTTTGCAGAGATTTTATATTCTAAGACGTCGTGGCAGACACACTGCTGGACCCTGGTTTATATAGTAGGACTGTCTATTTTATTCTAAACAGGAGATTTAGGAATTCAGTTTCTGATTCCTCTAAGACAGATATATATTTAGTTTTACTTTGCATTATGAATATATTCTGGTCATTTATCCTTCTGGGTCTGTTTCCCTACTAGTAATAGGGATTAGTAATAAGTAGTTATCACCTGTGATTACAGAAATCAAAGTTCTGTGAGGGTGATAGGGATTCTTTCTTCATTCTTTTCCCTTTCCTGTTCCACCTTGTTGTTGAAATACAAATTGTCTTTTCAGAACCTGATCTTACTGATTTGTTTTTATTTCACTGTGACATTTCCCATTGCTTCAGGAAGCATTAACAGCTCTTAGTAGCAGCAGCTTTCTTGTGTGCTTAATAAACCTAACATTTTTCATTTAGGAACGTGCAGCTTGTGCGAGCCTACCTCTTCATCTCTCATTTTCCCTACAGTCATCTGTTTCTTTAGGTTTGCATCTATTGTAGCTTTGTTTCATGTTTTTCTGCCTGTAAAATGGGTAACTGTCATAGTTTAACCTCAGCCAGTAACTGGGCACCACACAGCTGCTCGTTTACACACCCCACCCCACCAAGGGCTTGGAGAAGAGAATGGAGAAAAACTCATGGGTTGAGATAAAGACAATTTAATAGGATAACAAATGAAGAATATAACAATAACGATAATAAAGCAACAGATGCACAAATGCAATTGCTCACCACATGCAAAAGGGAAAAAACCAACCTGATGCCCAGTCTGTTTCTGAGCAGCAATCCCACCTCCCAGCTAGCTTCCCAGTTATACCCGGAGCATGATGTTCCATGGCAGGGAATATCCCTTGGGCCAGTCTGGGTCAGCTGTCCTGGCTCTGCTCTCCCAGCTCCTTGTGCACCTGGCAGGGTGTGGGAAGCTGAAGAGTCCTTGACTTTGTGTAGGCACTGCAACTACCCAGCAACAGCTAAAAATATCAGTGTGTTATCAACATTATTCTCACCCTAAATCCAAAACACAGCACGATACCAGCTACTAGAAAGAGAATTAATTCTATCTCAGCTGAAACCAGGACAGTAACATTTATCATGTGTTACGTTTTCTTCTGTGACATTTTTTCTTTGTCTCAGTCTTATACTGAGTTACTTTACCCCACAGCTATTTATGAATAGAATTCCTTAAGAGTCTGAGGTAACAGTTTTATTTTAGCTAAATTTTAAAGGGACAAAACCCACTTTCTTTGCTAAGGTGAGAGTCAAAAAGAAGAGAGTTGGAAACTGTCCAGAAGGTAGCTTTATGAACTCAACCCCTTTCCCCCCATTTATTTCAGGAGAAAGCCCGAAGACTGTTTGTGAGTTATATTTGTTTTATTATATGTTTTTATATAAAGCAATTCTGTCAGAGTTGCTTTGAGCAGAGCATAACCCAAATCAAATTGCTAGACTTATAGCTGAGCTGGCAGCTCCAAGCTTCATTTGTAATAATCTGGATCAGGGATCTGATATCCCGAAGTTTTCTACTATCCTGGAGGGAGGAAAGAGAAGTGCAAACATTGAGTAACGATCAGGTGTTATAAGTCTTTAAGCATGTTTAGTGCAGTGAGAGCTGGTCTTTAGCAAAAGGAGGCTCCTGTGAACCCCTGAGCAGAGTTGCCTTGTGTTTCCTCAGTGAGTTGTTCTTTAGCCTGGAAATTGCTACACAGCATGTTGTTCCCCTGGTACACAGAAGCCCAAGTCTGGTTAGAAGTGAGGCCAGGTTACAAATCTGATGTGCAGGAGCAAGGGATTCAATCTGGGTGTTTAAATTTAAATTTTAGTTTATTATTTTATTTATTGTTTCCTATTCTAGGAACACAAATTTTGGGCCCAGTGCTAACGCTTAGCTCTGAGATTTTGACTCAAGGCTGTTGTCTAGTTTCCTACATTGTTAAAACATATGAATGTTAAAGCTTGAAAGAAGTACAATATGATGGTTTGTCTGACTTCTAGACTTAAACTTAACCTCTCTGTGATTGTGTCAAGTGTAACCTATAGCTGAAATGACACGTGCCTTCAAGAGTTATAGCGTCTAGAAAACATACAACTGCACCAACATTTTTTGCTGTTCTTTGTGCCCTTTTTTGAATCTAATGTGTGAGGCAAAAGGCAATTTTATTTGCTTGAAATGTGGTTGGAGACACAGACGTTATTTCCACATAATGACTGTAACTACAAAAAAAAGGAAGATGCTTTGAAAAGCTTAATTTGTTCCTTTTTAAACTTTAATTGCTTAATTAGTCTCCTTCATCCTTTCCATTTTGTCTTCAATTTAGGCATGGATTACTCATTTCAATTTCTACTATTGTTCATTTGCCAAGAGTATGATTCTTTCTGCATGTGTTGGAAAATGTCTTTAAAATCTATCAGACACTCTTGTGTATTAAATAATATGCATGAAAAAGGAGAATTATGTCTGATCCAGGATTTTTTGGTTCTGTAATTCGTTTTAGATATGTGTTATACCTAGAGCAATTGCATTGATACGTACTTGGGAGGAAACTTTCAGTCTCAGAGTTGTGTCATCCTAGACTTTCCCATTAGATCATTTAGAACAGATGAAGGAAGATATGATCATTTTTAGACTATATGTCTTTTTAGTCTATTATAATTTAGATGCTCCTATAAGTTTAATTAATTTACATTCCAGTGTGTTGGCCAGAACAGCAATTCATCATATGAGTTGTAGTGGGGATGGCCAATTTTCCATTACTGCTTGTCTCTCATAAAAGCTTAAACTGCTGTCAAGACATAGGGCAAAAACAGAAATGAAGATTTGCACATTGTCAAAGTCCCAAAATATACATTTGATAGTGTTTTGAAGGAACTCTACATCTGGAAAGCAGCTGTGAAATAACAAGTAAAGGTATTGTCCTGCAAATGTGTCTGCAACTCTTCTGCTTTAATGTTCATTCGAATAATCTGGAAGGAAAAGACAGTATTTCATGATCTCCCAGAAGACAAAGAATTTTCTTTGTAATATGCAACAGGTCAGGTGGAAATATTACTCCTTGTTTGTTCTGAAAATTATATATATACAGACTAAGAATATTTTTTTTGGTTGGTATTTGGGTTGTCATATGCACAACTAGTAACTTTTAATCCAGCCATTTCTGTTTAGTTTGGAAGTGCTTACCAAAAATTTCATTACCAGGAATTCTGAATGAAAGGGTTACCATATGGTGGGTTTCTGGATGATGTTTTTGGAGTTCCTACTCCCAGGAGTCTTCCTGTTTCTGTCTGTAGTGTTTGTAGAAGTTACTCTGTTTGTAGCTTTTATTTCTTTGTTTTCTTTCACAACCTATCCACAAAGTGCATTATCTTATTACAAATGGATTTGACAAATGGAAATCAGGCCTGGACTTGGCATTTCCAAAGAGCTTGATGTGCACTAACTCAAGAACATTTTTAGTGTGATCTGAGAAAAGATGATGATGGTCTATATTCCAGCCATTGGTGAGATTAATGAATATTTAGGGAGCATTTTCTTGCATTATCCCACTTAGAAATATGTATATTAAGAGCTTGAAGCTTATGGCAAGCCTACCAGTGTGATATATATATTTATATGTATATGTACATATATATATGTATACATACCTAAATATACAAGGGTATGTAGTGATAGGACAAGGGGAAATGGCCTTAACCTGAAGGAGGGTAGATTTAGATTAGATATTAGGAAGAAATTCTTCTCTATGAGGATGATGAGGCAGTGGAGCAGGTTTCCCAGAGAAGCTGTGGATGCCCCCTCCCTGGAAGTGTTCAAGGCCAGGTTGGATGGGGCTTTGGGCAACCTGGTCTAGTGGAGGGTGTCCCTGCCCATGGCAGGGGGGTTGGAACTAGATGATCTTTGAGGTCCCTTCCCACCCAAATCATCCTATGGTTCTGTACCTACACATATGTATGCTAATGCCTGAACTGGTTGGATTCTAATAAGGAGACTAATAAGGTGGTTGTTCTCTTTGCAGTTGTTTGTCCTCCGGGCAGTCATTTCCAGAATGAGGAATGCATTCCCTGCCCTTTTGGCTACTATCAGCATCAGACAGGACGTTCCTCTTGTATCAAGTGTCCTGTGGGCAAAACTACCAACTCCTATGGGGCATTCAGTGCTGATCACTGTAAGTTGAACTCATTTCTTCCCTTACCCTTTGTATTCTAGCTTCAAACAATGAATGGATTTTTTTTTTTCAATCTGTGAGTTAAAAAAAAAAAAAAAAGACCCTCCCTCTGGGTTTTTTTGGGTGGGTATGATCTCTTCTGCGTATGTTCAAAGACATTTTCCAAAGACAGACCATGTTGTCTGGTGTTTTCACAAAAAATGTGTGAGAAACAAGTGCTCAGTCTCATCTAGGATGTTGTGGTTCCTTGAGACATGTTCACTGACCTCAGGAATGATATCTGGGTACTCAGCATCAGTGAGAAACATTTTACATACTTCACTTATTGTCACTTTCATGAATACTAAAGTAGGCTTGTCTTTGTGCAGCTCTTTCCCCTGCAAATACAAATGCTTCTCACAAAACAATTACCGATATGTTCCCTAAAGTTGGTGTATTCAGTTTAAATGACTTATTTTTGCATGCAGTTCCATAAAGAAAATCACTTAAATCCAAATTCAGCTTTGTCTGCAGCATTAGCTCATGGATAAAAATAAAAGCGAGTAGTAAGAATGGGGTTCTTGGCAGTATTGGTGGGTATAGCAACTGCTTTGTTCTGTTTCAACCTGTTTAATCTCTTAGGTGGGATATAAAAAAAACACCCCAGGTTTATTGTAATGCAACCTGACATCAATTAGCTTTTGGCTGAAGTTGTCATTCTTCATTTCCATGTGTGTTCCTGGTGTAGGTATTGGACTCCTGTGCTTAAAAGGAATAATCCTTAGGTTTCGGGGTTTTTTTACTGCACTTGCAGTTTTCTTGATTTCAAGTGCCTGCAACTAAACTTACTCTCTACCTGGTTTCCACCTTGTCTGAGTGTCAGCCCTTTACAAAGGGCCGTGTTGTACACATTTAT